CTTTAGGATAAAAAGATTTTTAGGTTGTTAAAGAAGGAAGGATGTCTGAAATACTGTTGGCAGGGCACCCGAGTCAAAGATGGGAACTAAAGAGGGTGGGAAGGGGAAAGGTAACCAAAAGAATGGTCAAAGAGGAAAATACTGAAAAAAAGAGTTTCCCTCAGTGCCCAAGCCAACAAACTACAGATTAATTTAATAATAATTACTGGCATTAATATGGCGCCCTTTACCCGGGTTAGCATCCTGGAGTGCTTATAAGTGCTGTGGGACCTTGTACACATAACTCAGTGTCACATTTGCCTGTGTGGATTCATTATACTTGACAGTAAGTGCTTGCAGGGCTGAGACATTTCAGTGAGATGAGGCTATACAGAATTGAGAGTTTTATTTTATATCAGAAAATAACTATTTCCTGCTGTCTTAAATTTTCCCGTTGTCTGTTTTCCAGATGACTTGACTCATCTAAAGATTGATTAGGGAAAATGGAAACTGTTCATTTTTCTTTGTACTGCTATTCATGGCTTCATCAATTTCATTATTTTGGAGCTGAAGTATATATTACCAGAAACCAGAAAATATTACCACTGTGAAGGAATGTAATGGTCTTTTATAATTCTTGTTTGTTTTAAACTTCTCCATTTTTAGAGAGTAAGATTTTGAGCGGAATGGTGATAATTTATGTAAAATTAATTTTGTTTTCTGAAGCTGAGAGCTTGGCATTCCTCAAAAAGCCAACAACAGCAACTTGCATTTATATAGCATCCTTTACGTGAGTAGCATCATGGAATGCTTTTTTAAAAAAAGCCACCGTTGAACCCTTCATAAATTCTAAATTCAGACTTTTTAAACTTTTTTTATATCTGTTTTCCATCTGATGTAATGAAAGCATCATATATTAAGGTAAAACATGACTTCTGGCTCAGATTTGGGTTGCAATTCATGACAATTTCCCACCAACAGCCATGAAGCAAGAGACAATTTTTATTTGGGGAGATTATCACCAGGAAAAAACTCCCTCCTCTTTGAATAGTGCCATAAGACCTATCTAGAAGTTTCATCTTAATCTGTACGAGTCCAATTCCCAACTTGGGGCTTGAACCTACAACCTTCTGACTCCGACGTAAGAGTACTGAGCTAGCCTGATGCTATATATCATGTTCCACAAATGTACTTTGCTTATAGAATCCCTTGGATAGAAAATATTGCCAATTGATCCTTGCAATGGGAGACAGCATGCTATTTTGTGTGTATGTGTGTGTACATATATATATATATATCTATAAATTAAAGTCTGTTATTTTAGATGTTAGTGGAATCTTTACCGCATGGTTGGTGGATCACACGTGCAGGTAATCCATGACCTACAACTGTGCAGAAGAGTCTGGTCCAATGATTTCTAGTTTCAATGAATGCTATTTAAACACCCTGTCTTACTTTAAAAGCTACGTACTTATTACATGCAAAACCTGTCTTTCTTGCATGGTTCAGAACTTCTCTATCGACATAACATCAAAAGACTTGATATTGCTGCCAAGCGTAGCAATTGACTTGTAAACAACAGTATACAGGGTAATGAATTGATCAACTTAGAAGCTGAATGCTATGCATTAAATCTCCATTGTCGTTACAATCATGTGAGCTGCAACATGATTGTGTACCAATTTTTTTCATGTGTAATTGATAAATTATTTAAACTTGGAACTGAGTTGGCTCCAGGTGATATACTTGGCAAATACGCCCTCACTTTTCTATTAGCCCAGGAGATAATGTGCTATATCAAATGCTATATCAAATCAGTCAAGTCAATCCTCTGTGGCAGTTTCGCTAGTCCGGTTTTTGAGCCATTCTGATCTACAATACTCTGAGACACAGTCCGACAAAACTCTACCGCCCGCATACTTACCCAGACCAAACTCTGTACCCACAACTCACCAGTTCTGGCCAGGCTCCACTGGCTCCCATCACCGAACGAAACGACTTCAAGATCCTCACACTTGTGTTCAAATCCATTCAGTCTCTAGCACATCCCTACTTCTTTGACCTCCACTTTGCCCTGAAACTCTGGAACACTCTCCCTCAATCCATCTGCCTTGCCCCCTCTCTCCCCTTTTCAGATTCCCGACTGAAAACCTTCCTGTTCAACTGTGCTTACAGCCACCCCTCAGAAACCTCAGCTGAGAAAAAAAACAAATTAAACTTAATTCCTAATATTATATCGTATGTAGAACATAGAAAACATAAACATAGAAACAGGAGTAGGCTATTCAGCCACTCAAGCCTATTCCACCATTCTATAAGATCATGGCTGATCTATACCTCAAGTCCAATTAAGTCCAAGTCCCGCCCTTGCACTGTATCTCTTAATACCCTGACCTAACAAATTCTATCCAGCTCAGTCTTTAAAATGTGAATGGATCCAGCATCCACAGCCTTTTGGGTGAGCGAGTTCCAGATTTCGACTATCTTTTGGGTGAAAAACTGCCTCCTAATTTCACATTACAATGGTTAGTGTGGGAAATGGAAATGCCAGCAGAACTTTTCCAAGCCAGGAATTGATGCACATTATGGAAGAACTGTACTGTCATCTCACTTGGGAGACCTTGATACTGATACTTAAATTAAGATGGTCACAAATTACCATTTTTTGGTATGATGTACAAGTATGATGTGACCACAATGGCACCTAATTCTCACAACATTATTGGAGGGTGGAAGGGCGAAGAGAAAGCCAGGGTCAATAAAATGAGTCTTGCTTTGTCAACTCTGGATTTTTTTTATACTTAAAATTTTCAGTTGTTCAATGTGAGTAACTTTCCAGATCCCAAGGAGGTCTTTGGTGTTACTGTTCCATGTCATTCTACTCAAATTCTTCCACTCAGTTAGTACAGCAGTTCATGGTAGATTTAGATAGAATACACAGGTTTAGATATTGGTTACATACCTCACAAGTGTTCAGCTGCTTGGCCATTTTAGATTCAGATTTCAAGGGGGATCATTGTTTCCAAATTAAAAATTAATTGTGGTTACCGCACCCTCTAAATGGCATATGCCTACAACAGTTCATTGTGGTTCTGCATACATATTTAATCATGATCATTGTAATTGGCATTGTTCAAAGCTCTGAGACTCCACCATGTGTGAAGCGCACTCTATAATTGCAAGTTGTCGTTGTAATGATTTCATTTTTCGTGTTAAATGAATTTTAACATTTTAACATTTATTTTTAGTATGTGAAGTTTGGAAATCTTGTGCCTTTTGATTAATTTCTTGCTAATACTAATCCAAAGAAAAACGCAATTGAAGCTTTGATGATCAGCTCTAATAGATCTGCCCCAAAACTATTTGACCTTTGTTATAAAATAGTGCAGGTTTCATAACTGATGTATAAATTTCCAAGTCTGTGTAAAACTTCAACAGAAAAACAATTCACTTCTGAAATCTGCAGTGGCATAAGTGAGACTGGCAGTTCACCACTGAGAAAATAATAAGAAAAATTGAGTACTGTTATTCCACAGCCTAATTCAAACCCTCTGCTTAATCCCCTCTCTTCCAGTCTATTTAGATCACACCTGGATATCTTCCTCTTCGACTGTACCTATGGTCATTTCCCCTCAGTGGCTCAGCGTCAAGTTAACAATAATCCTTATATTTGATATAGCACCTTATCACTTGTGCCAAAAGAAAAGTGTGGGCGTATTTGCAAAAAATGCAGAGCACTTTAGCAATCGTGCGGAGGTGTTTGCTAGATTTTGCAGGGAAATTGCGGAGGGTGGATTGCTGCTATTGAGGTGCATTTTACCGCTACATTGTTTCACTTTATTGATAAAAACTAAACATAAGGAAATAATACATATTAGATTGTTGCAAAAAAACCTGCTGTTATTGAACAATAAGAAAACCCTGTAACATATCACCTCCACAGTACTACACTGGACTCTTTTGACTCCAATGATCAACGGGAGGAAGGCATCTTCATGATCCCAAGTGGTAGTATTTTACATGTCCCAGCAGCCAATGTATTGTAGTTCTCCTTTTCACCTGTGTAGGCCTCTGAGGACCTATCTCACGTGATTCCTTTTTGAAAACCTGAGGTACCAATATGCAGTATCGAGCTGAATTTCAGAACTGGTAAATATGATGCAGCCTCAATGCATTTGACAAGAATGGTTAAGTAACCAAACAGACATTAATAATTCCCCGTTTTACCACAAATATAAACCATTGCAGCGTTACTGTTCTGACGATATCTTTTTGAGAAAGTGGGTTGTTAGTTTTGTGGTTGGAAGCTGGCTCCTCTTATCTTTTCATGACAATGTATATGTGGCTCCACATAATGTTGGCTTGATTTTCCATAGTATCATCTGTGGTGGTGAAGGCAACAGCAACAACAACTTGCATTTATATAGCGCCCTCCACACAGGGCAGCATCTCAGAGCACTTCACAATGGCGGAGCCTGACTCTGAGCCGGGGGGGTGGGGGGGTGAGGCGCAGGTTAAAAGGAAGGTCTAAAAGGAGAGAGAGGGGGCAAGATGGAAAGATTGAGGGAGAGTGTTTCAAAGTTTCTGGGCGTAGTGGCTGAAAGTGCGAACTGAACAGAAAACTGCAGAAAACAACAACAATTTGCATTTATATAGCATCCGTTCATGCAGGGTAGCGTCCCAGAGCGCTTATAAATGGAGGTTGTGCACAGTTGTGACTTGACATGTTTTGTGTATGACAAAATAATGCGTATTACAGCACTTCAGAATCTTAATTCTGTTGCTTACTTTATTTGGGGCGTGGGAATAAAAAAAATATGAAGCTAGTGTGCAAGTTATATATTGGCTTGTATAAGCAGTTCTCCTGAAAATCATCAGTTGGAAAGCACGTCTGTTTGTGTAAAATTATTATAATAAAAAATTGTTTTGCATCTGGAAGCAGTCATATTTTGTATTTTATTTCTGAATTCTGAACTGTTTATATGCATCAGAGGAGTGATTGATTGTTTTTTCTCTTCTAGAGTGTGATGTAAATAGACTTCCAGGTGTCATTACTGTGAAGATTTAATTGGTGGAGTGAACAGGAGGAAAGCACAGTCTGTTTGTAGGTGTTAACAGGTATGTAAGAGCTACAGGGTTTAACTGTAGAAATCCTTCCTCCTATATAGTTAAGCCTTATATAACTGATAATTAACAGATCAATCATTTCATATATGATTACTTTTTGATTTTGAAAGTTTACAAGTCTGCCTATCTCTAGAAACAAAAGTGTGGAGTTTTATGTACAAACTTATCTTGCCACCTGTGATACAAATTATATTGTAGCTTTTAACATAGTTTTGGGTTTTTGTACTATTTGAAAACCAAAATGTTCGGGACACGTGGGGAAACTCATCACCATGTTTGAGTATCCAAACCAGACTAAGTTTCATACATGCTACCTACAAATTAAATTCCCGTGTCTTGAATGGAATGCGCACTCTCTCCCTGGAGGGATGCACCCTGCTTACATAATTCTGGGACGTATTTGGCGCAGGTTGGCAAGAGCCAAGTCTTGGGGACGCCAGAGTGTGCATTAGGATATTGTTGAAGGTTACTCAGTTAAATTCTTGCAGCTTGCCATTGAGGGCAAGGTCTGGCAAACTTCCAGCTGGTCTGCCGCTCCGAGTTCTTCCAATGAAACTAGATGGTGTGTTATCAGCAGTGCTTTGGAGAACTGTGGACCTTAAGTAAATTCAGCTTTACTCAGAAAATTGACTACTGAGTTTGCCACAGAGCATTAACCTAATTCCGCCATTTCTTTCCGAAGCACATCAACTGAGCAACCTCTTCTTATACCCCCCAAGGAGGATAGTCAAAAGACATCACTTCCCCACTTTAAAATATATATCTCACTGCTTGTTCAGCTCATTCGAAAAATCTGCTTGCAATGCCTCCACCTCCTCTCTGGAACTCACTTTGGTACCTATTTCTTGGGGGTCTTGTTTGACCCTCAACTACCCTTTCTAGCCCACATCTGCACCTTGACCCGCTCTGCCTTCTCCCACTTTGCAACGACGCCCGGCTCCGACACTGTCTCACACCGCAGACCGCCGAAAACCCTCATATATGCCTTCATTACCTTGAGGCTCGACTATGCAAACTCACTGCTTGTCAGCCTCCCCAACTCTCTCCATAGGCTGCAGATAATCTGGAACTCTGCAGCCCATGTCCTCTCCCACACCAGGCTCCGCGACCCTAGCACCCCCATCCTTGCCCAACTCCACTGGCTTCCCATCACACAGAGGATACAGTTGAAGATCCTGGTCCTCACCTTCAAAGCCCTCCACGGTTTTGCTCCTCCCTACCTCTGCTACCTCCTAACCCCCTACCACCCTGTTCGCTCCCTCCGCTCAGCGGGCTCCATCCTGCTTCATGTCCCCCGCCTAGCTCGACCCACTATCGGCGGGCGGGGGCCTTCCGCCACTCTGCACCCACCCTCTGGAATTCCATCCCACAGTCCCTCCATCTCGCCCCCTCCCTCGCCACCTTCAAGACCCACCTCAAGACCCTCTTCGACCATGCTTTCAATCTCCCTGCTTCCCCCCCTGCCCTCCACCACCCCGACCCTCAGCTCGGGTCCATAACTCTGTCTGTCCAGCGCCTTGGGACATCCTCCTGATGTGAAAGGCGCTATACAAATGTAATTTTGTTGTTATTATTTTAGTGTCAACAGTAAACATAGTGCTGGTGCTATTAAATAAGGCATACTACAATGCACAGTTAAAACATGGTTTTAATGCACACATGCACAACTGGCCAGTTCCCATTTAAAGCAGCTAACAAAGTCATCTCTACCTGTAACAATTATTCTTCTTTGTTCAAGCTCTTGTATCAAAGACATGCTGTAAAATCTTCCATCTCTCTGGAAGATCTGTAATTAAAACTACCGTTCAGTTCGAATAGCCTTAGAATTAGACTAGAACTGTGAATTATCTGTGAGAAAGTGCTCAATCCTGTATCATAATATTGTCCGTGCAGGTTCCCAAGCTGAGCAAGACAGTCAGGTAGAACTCATCCACACTCAGAGGACTAAATGCGTGACACCAAGCTAAAAGAGAAATGGTTGACCTGGGTCATCGGGTCCCCATCACTTCCTGTTTGCTGTACACGCACAAAATAGTTGATGGCTGTTGATGGCAATCTGATGACCAGGAAGTCTGACTTTCTTTTAGCACAAGCAGTTACAATGACCAACTTCCACGTCATTGGGTCACCACTGATGTGGCATTCCTGATTTCTGGTTGCACAAATATGTAATTGGATATGTGTGAGTTTTGACATGATAATGTCTTGCAGCACACAATTTTATGTGCAGTTGCGAATTGTGTAATCAGTTTGAAATGCTGTTGGTAGATTCTCCACAGCCATTCCCTGTTAGTTTTTTTTTGCATAGAATGACACAGCACGGAAACGGGTATTCGCCCCAACTAATCCATTTCGGTGTTTATGCTCCACATGAGTCTCCGTCCCTCCTAACCCCCTCTCCTTTACCATGTCTTCCTCATATATTAAATTATTCACTTAAATATGTTGATACTTTTAGCTTCATTTAGAACTTCCTTGTGGCAAAACTTCAAATTCAGTAAGCAAGTTGAGTGTGCTGTACTGTATGTTTGGGTGGATGGAAGGTAAACAAAGCGTTGTTAAGGGAGTAACGGAGTGTACAGTCATCAACAAAACTGCGAATGAACTGGTAGAACTGGAAATCAGAATTAGCTGGCTGTGATCCAGGTTTCACACTCATTGAGCATTTGCTCCTCCTAAATCCTTTCCACAAAGGATTCCTTTCCTGTACCATGTCTGCCTTGTATTGAGATGCTGTTTGTACCAACAGGAGAGTATTTTTAGCTCTTTTAATTTAAGGACCCATGAAATAATGAATTGGGTAGTTATGAATGAGTTGTTGGAAGAGGATGGCATTGATGCCTGAAAGGATAGGTTATACACAGTTTAGTCTTCTATAATTGATTCACTGCTTTAGGTATGTTTTCATTGTATCTATAATTGTTTGCTAACAACTCGTAAAGGAGTGTCTGTAATTTAATTCACATTTTAAATGTTATCTGGAAGCTTTGTCAAATTGTAATTACTGTGCAAGCAATCTGACAAGAGAATTGTTGATCAAAGTACTGTATATCCAACACAAAGGAATACAGTTCAGAGCTAATATATGCCATTTGGGGGGGGAAACCCCTGACAAACCATTTGTAGGACAGACAATGTGCACTGGACATTGTCCGGGTCTGGCCTCCTCCTCGTGCCCCAAGTCTTCCGCTCCACCTTCGGCGGCCGTGCCTCCAGCCACTATGCCCCGAGGCTCTAGAACTGCCTTTCTCACTCCCTTCGTCTCGCTCCCTCCCTTCCCATTTTCAGGTCTCTGCTGAAGACCTTTCTTTTCGACCGCGCCTTTCGTCACCTTCCTCCCCCTCCCCCTGGCTCAGTCCCAGGATCCGAAACTGTAAAGCGCTCTGAGACGCCGTCCAGTGTGGAGGGTACTATATAAATACCTAAAGCAGTGAATCAATTATAGAAGATTAAACTGTGTTGTTGGACCTGAAAACTAGCTGGGAACCTGAATATCTTCTGCTAAATGAATTGGAGTTGATATCACCAGCAACAACAAAATGATATTTGTATAGCACCTTTCATATCGGGAGGACATCCCAAGGTGCTAGTGGTCAGAAGGCAGAGGCAGCTGAGTGGATCCCCTCGACTTTGATTTTGTGGAAGTCCAGCATCTCCACAGTTGGCGTTGGAGGAAAGAATGAGTGAGGCATGAGAGGGTGGAAGGAGGAGCCGGTTGGTGATGGAGAAGAGGATCCTGGGGTTGTTCTTGGCCTCCAACACATTGTTTTGGAGTAAAAGGACGATTTAGCGGAGGCAAGGGCGGAGCGGTAAGTTTTGATAAGGTCCAGCAAGATCTGCCGATGGACTGTTAAGTTAGACTTGAGCCAGGTGTGTTTAGCTGCACGTACCTGTGCCTCGAGAGAGCGGAGGCGGCTGGGGTACCAGAGTTAGTTCTGTGAGTAGGAGGCAGTTCAGAAAGTGAGGGGAGCAAGGACATTGAGAGTGATGGAAAGGGAGTTGTGAAGGAGTTTGACCGAGGAGGATAGGTCATTGCGGGAGGAAGCCCATTTATTTTCTTGACAATATAACAATTATCTGTATTAGGATTTGGCTGCAGTTTTGAAATAAATGTTTTGCCAACAAAATATTTAAGGTCAATCTGCAGCATTCTTTGGTTGGACCAGGAATTCTGTGCAATAGAAACACATTATAATTTTGTGCTTGAATTTGCATTAATTTATGACTGTAATGTGATAGTATTGAAGAAAATATTTTCATAGTATTGAGGCACATTAATAGAATTTGAAGAAAGGCCAGCTGAATCATTTCTTAGCTCACCCATGACTGGAAAATTCTCTCATCAGCTCTATCTATGTTTGTTGTAGAGCTGGCAACATTGTGACTAACCATAGGACATACCTGAATCAAGTAACACCTGATTATATTTTCCTGCTTTTTTGTCTGAAAGCTTTTTTATTGTCTCCTTAATGATAGCAATGCAAAATAAAGTGAGTCATAGAAACAGAAATTTCATCGCAAAGGAGGCCATTTAGCCCTTCAACCATGCTTTCAGTCACCATCCTTCCCATTCCCCCCCCCACGCCCTCCTGCCTTCCCGATCCTGACCCCCAGCTCGGGTCCGAAACACTGATTGTCCAGCGCCTTGAGATGTCCTCCCAAAATGAAAGGCGCTATACAAATGTAATTTTGTTGTCATTCATACTATATTAGCTCCCACACTGGTTTTGTCTTTTACTGTACATGGGAATATATTTTCAGAAACTATGTTGAAGTACACTAGCTGTTTATGTCGGACGTCCTCCCGACATGAAAGGCGTTATACAAATGTAATTTTGTACTATGTTATACTTTTAGTCAAGTTGTTTTCGCCTCTGCACCTCAGGCTCTGGCAGCATCAACCTCCATGGTTGCACACTTCAACTCACCAGCCAGTCAGGAACCTCGGTGTCTTGTTCGACCCTCAATTGTCTTTTTTTCTCCACATCCAA